CTGTAATATAGAAAGGTGGAAGATCAAGGATGATGGAAGAGAATCTATATTGAGGGCGTTAACTTCCTTAAGTGTCTAACAAGGGATATGCTTATTGGTTCAATGGTTATGTTTTCTAAATTTTGTGCCAATCACGTTTCGCCTAAGTACGGCTCAATTAGAGCATAATGGCTGCGCCCACCTGCCGGGTGCTGCAGAACTGATTACTCATGAAAAGGGGTGATTTAGACCTACTAACCAGCGTTCAATTGCCACAAAGTAATACTCATATTGCGTAATGTATTGAGAAGTAATTCATCGGTTATCATATAAGCTAGGGCCTATATTAAAAAAAATTAATATAGACTTTGCTAGGCCCTCAATCCTAGCCTAGCTAGGCGGCAGGCTTGGCTAGGCTAGGGCCTAATAATAATCCTTCCTGTCCGCTAGGTTGGTAGGAGGCAAGGCACTATTTGGCGGGACTAGCCTAGGATGAGCTGGGTCTGTGCTTAGGTCTAGGTCCACTGCTAGCTTGGCCTTGGCTCAAAACAACAGGGGAAGGTAATGTAAAGTAAAAATAAATGCTTTTCTGAGAGAAGTGGTGAATTTCTGGAAAAATATAATATTAGACCTAGCCTAGGCCTAGGTTTTTGAAAAATGTTACATATTTTTTGTTTTCTAGAATCAGTCCCGTTTGAATAAAGACAGGATGTGGATGTTTTTGTTAGCTTCAGCTGGAGTTGTGCACTTGCTGGTGTGCCCCTTCACTAAAGTGGAGGAAAGCTTCAACCTGCAGGCAATGCATGATATCCTATATCATACAACCAACATTACAGCTGTGAGTTTCAACTGGTCGAATGAATAACCGCAATGAAAGCAAAATTACTGTAGTTGACAGCAAGAAAATATGCATATACACCTGCCAACTCTCACGCACAATGCACAAGTCTCACGAATGAGCAACCACTTTTAATGTCTCACGCCTACGTTGTATCATCTCGCACATCATAACAATTTTTATAAAATTGTATTAACAGATAAAATCTGATTATACCCTGAAACTCATAAAAATGAATGAAAATTCGTCATTAAAATGTAAATACAGGCCATGTAAATTTATTTTAAGAAAGCTATACCGACCCATGAGTAATTAGTAAATAGCAGCTCCACCACTACAATTTTTTTTAAATAACATAGAGGGCCCCCTATTTTGTGATTTTTTCATAGAGGGTGCTATATACAAATTTGTTTGTCTTGTGCATCAGATGCCAACAGGGTTGGCAGGTATTTGCATAATATCTATGTTGAGCCACCTAATTCCGCACCTAATGACATAAATAAGACATCGATACCAAAATTGACTCTTCAAATTCAGTATTAAGGCAAGTATGATATATATAGCCAAAAAATGATTTATATATAGATAAAGCTCATGGTTTTGAGTAAACAAAAGGGTGTATTGCATACTAACACTCAACTTGTGGTAATTGAGTTTTGGCTTTCATTGCAGTATTGATTGATCTACTGATTTTATTACTATTAATATTATTATTAATTTTATTTTCTTGGTTGCTCTATATAATTTCTGTGTAAAGCACATGGGGCAATGTGCAATATACGCCATATAATTATACAATTATTATATTATTTTTAATTATAATACATAATATTATGTACGAAATTCATTGGATCCAATAATAGGTAAATATATGCTTCCTTTATAATGATCCAAAAATCAAGTATAAGTAAGGGGGATGTAAACTTGCAGATGGACTTGATGTTTCGCCTGCTTCCATCGAGGCTTAGTCATAAGTGACTATATGATGGGCATTGTGATGGATGTTGGTTACGATGAACCTTTACTGTGTTTTTTGGGTATAGTCATATCGTCACTTATGACTAAGCCTCAATGGAAGCAGGCGAAACGTCAAGTCCATCGTAAGTTTACATCACCCTTACTTATACTTGATTTTTGGATCATTATAAAAGAACCATATATTTGACATGTAATGATGTGAATGCATACCTCACTAATCTAAAAGAAGGAGTTTGCCGCCTGATGTTATAAATCATCATTTTATTTCTACTCCATAATATCTATAATTATTTATATTTCCCTCAGTATGATCACAATGAGTTTCCAGGTGTTGTCCCAAGAACTTTCATTGGACCTCTGTTTGTGTCTCTATTGGCAATGCCTTTTGTTACATTCTTCTCTCTCATTGGAGCTTCGAAAGTGATTTCGCAGGTCATTGGTAAGTCTCTCTTGAATTAAATTAAAGCTGTAATGAATACTAACTAAAGATGGTAATTAGTTAATATAATATCTGTTATTTTCTTTCAGTCAGGTTCTTTCTTGGAGTCTGTGTACTTCTAAGTTTGAATCAGTATAGAAAATCCATAAGAATCCGATTTGGACAGGACGTTGCTAAATATGTTATGATTATTACAGCTACACAATTCCACTTTGCCTTCTATATGACAAGGCCACTGCCAAATATATTTGCTCTAACTGCAGGTAAGAACTAATTTTTTATTGTAAATGTCTAAATAAGTAACTAAATTGAATAAAATTGACTTATTATAATGTTGTGTTGACAGTGACAAAGGGTGTATGGTGGTCAACTTTGCTGCGAACAAAGGAAAATGAAGAACAAGATGTGCCTCACATCTTTTTCTTTCAAAAGTATGAACAAAAGCTTATTTATTGTGCTTTATTGATAACAAAACAATAGTATTAAACTAATATTTTGTTTATTCAGTCCTTGTAGCCATTAGTGCATGGATTAATGACAGACCTGCAGTGTTTATCAGTCTCTCAGCATTCGCTATCATCATTTTTAGAGCTGAGCTAGCCATTCTGATGGGCCTCATGCTACTAATGGAACTAGTTAATGGAAGAATCAGTATTGTAACACTTTTAAAACATGCAGTCCCTGCTGGAGTAGTTTGTTTGGGTGAGTAAAGTGCTGTAGCAGCGGCGGCGGCGTAGTCGTCGCCGCCGCTGTCGTCGTCATACTTGTTGTTTATAAGAAAGTATAATACATACTCCAAGTATTGAAATACACGCCATCGTGTTGGGATTCAATATTTCGACATTAATTATGTCATCATCAGTAATGTCGAAATATTGAATCCCAACACGATGGCGTGTATTTCAATACTTGGAGTATGTATTATACTTTCTTATCTGAGATTAATCAGTGGGCCTTTCGGTTGTTGTTTATTATTATTATTATTATGATTAACTATTGCATTTTTAATATTGTAAAAATTTGTTTTATTTCATGTTTATCCTTGATAAATATTCTGTATAGAAGGGATGTATTATATGCTAACTTTTCGTCCCCTTTTTTTGCAAGGTCTGACTGTCCTTGTTGACTCTTACTTTTGGCAGCGGTTACTTTGGCCTGAGGGAGAAGTTCTCTGGTACAACACCATCATGAATAAGAGCTCAAACTGGGGTGTATCCTTTGATAACGATGTATGATAACCAAAATAAATAAGGCTTTACCTATGTAAAATGATATTAAATATATAAAATAAAAACCACACAGACAAATCAACCAAACACATGCAATTCGTTAAATAGCTTGGTGGTTAAGATGCTTTCCTTCCAGTCCAAGGTCCTGGGTTCAGTTCCGGTCATTGTTGCATGATTTTTTTCTCACAACCAAAAGAACTTCACTCCCAACTCAGACAGCGTCGTACAACGCAGCCCAATGCGATTCATAAGAAATATTAAACATGTTTAATATTCTACGACGCAACTGCCCCCGACGCACACCATCGCGTCTGCGTTTAACTCACACAGACCCGATGCGACAACAAATCGTGTCGGGCCTTAAGCCTCATAATGACACTTAGTTTGTATAAAGCATTGTGTGTGTATGTTTGTCTTGTGAAAGAGATTGTCACTTACAAGAAGGACAGTTATATAATTTACAACTGTATCGACAATCCTTGATGTATGTGTGCACCTAAATAAATAAATAAAAATAAAATAAAACAATATTAGCATCAGTTCATTTCAAATATTTATTAGCCTTTATTAATTAAACTTTTCATTACTAATATTTCAATGTTTTTCTCCATGACGAGCCTTTACAGACACTTCCATTTCTTTGGTATTTTTATTCTGCCATTCCAAGAGCCCTCTCCAGCAGCCTTCTCCTGGTTCCCGTTGGTGCTTATGTAGATCTGAGGATCAGGACTTTTCTTCTGCCAGCCATTGGCTTTGTCTTTCTCTACTCATTCCTTCCACATAAGGAACTGAGATTTATCATCTATGTCATTCCCATACTCAACACTGCTGCAGCACGGGCAGTCTGCCATTTGTAAGTTCCTTCTTAAATATTTATTGTTAATTTTCCTATTTAAAGCACATCTTCTGGTGGTAGGCTTACAATCAAATTATTTATCCTTCTCTAGAGGACAGTATTGCTCCAATATACTGTAATTACAACTGTATGTCTTTATTAATGATGTTCTGTTTTGATTTCTTTTCTCCATTAGTTTCAACAACAGGAAAAAATCCATACTTATGACTTTGATGTCATTAGCAATTGTCGGCCATTTTGTTGTCAACATCGCAATGACCTCTGGGTTCCTGTATTTATCGTACCATAACTACCCTGGCGGAGATGCTATCAATAGACTGCACCAGCTCATACCAAAAGAAGGTTAGGATTCACAACAATTTTAAGAGAGAGAAATCAAGATTTTGTAATTTATTAATTTTGGCTATTATTGTATTTTGAATTATTATTATAGTGTATCATATATTTCATTTGCAATTTTATTTAAATGAATTTGAATTATGTAAATATGTACAATAAACTATATATTTATTAATATATTTTTCATATCGTCTAGAAAACATACATGTTCATATTGATGTTGCTACAGCCCAGACTGGAGTTTCTAGATTCACACAACTAAATGACAATTGGATGTAAGTACTAGTTATTAGGAAATGTTCATACCTATAATTACATACTGAATTAGAGATAAAGCCTGTGTCCTCTGTAAAGAATACAGTATAATATATCTGTATTAGTATAGGTAAAGCTATAACCCATAACTCGCAGCGTGATTGCGATGAACTGCATATGGTCATGGTCTGTGACTACCTAGCCGCCATAAAGAGGAGCTTATAATAGCTTCATGTTCACATCATCCCACAGTGAAAGGGGCTGAAATGAACCCTATAGAATCAGATTAGCCTCTGCTCTCCCAGAAGATGCAATGGGTTCTTTGAAGTCCTTATCCAAGATGACTTGGTTTTACCAACCGAACCCTGGAGGAGGAGCGCCTCAAACTAGCGCTAATGTTAAGGCTGTAGTTAATGGCGCCCCTGCTCGACCGCTAGAATTGCCATGTTAATATGGAACATATGATTCTCTTGTTAATTTCAGCTACAACAAAACAGAAGATCTTACTCCAGGTGGACTTGACATGATGTCCTATGATGTTATTTTCATTAGTGCATCTGATGAAAATGGGCCTGAACTTTCACCTTACAAATCATCTCATTACATATTAGACCATGTTAAAGGTTATGGAGGCATTGATACCAAAAGTTTCAAAACTGTGCCAGAAGTGAAACTTGAGCCAAAGATTTTTATATTAGAAAAGAAAAAATGTGCGGAATCATAACAATATGAACCCAGAACAGTTTTTGATAGCTTGTGATGTAATGTAGTAAGACTTTATTGAAGTCACATATCACTTTAAAATTCTAGAAAAGGGGTGGTGGTGGTGAAAAAAGTTGCCAAAATTAAATTTTGATTTTATTATGTTGTAAATTTTGAATTTATCATGTATTTGAAATTCAGTAATACTGTGCTGTAGTGTAAACTGTAAAAAATATTCACCCGGAAGTGGTGCCATTGTTAATGTTATTTAAAATTGTCATAAATTACTTCAGTACTATATTATTGTATACTCTAGTGGACAAATAAAGTTGTATATTAATGCAATGCTAATGGGATGTTGGAGCCAATAAACAGTAACGTATCTAGAAGTATTGAAATGTTTGGGGGGGGAGGGGGTGTGAGCCTAATGGGGGTTCAAATGTTATACGGAGGTTGATAATTTTGTCAGGGGGTGCTAGCTGGAAAGTAAGACAATATGAGGTAATTTATATCTACTTGTGTATCATTTTTTTATTTTTTTTTTCCGCACACCTGTAGATATGCCCCTGCCAATACAGAGGATATACCATATGCAATCTCTGGCATCTTGGCCATCCACATTTCATCTGGTTATTTTGTATGAACCTTCTTTATATATCAAATAAAATTTACAATTGCAGCCATTTTTTGGACTTTTGCTTCATGGAAATATAATTTTTTTGTGACTGAATAAAATACATTTTATTTGTGTTATTAATTTGGTTGTTTTATTATAATTTGTTGGTGTTTTATTATATACAATTATATATTATAAACAATTGTAACCTGTAATAATCTATCATAGCCTTTTGCCGATATATTAAAATTAAGAGTATTTGCATATTACCATCCAATAGATCAGAAAGCAAATGGAAAGAAAAATGAATCGTCTGAAGACGAATCATTTTCTTACACCTGGTGAATTATGTAAATTACCAATAGCGATTGGATAAAATACTCCGGTAAAAGAAACGATACCATTTATTTTGTTATCGAACTCTATTATATTTACAATTCAAATTTTGGATAAAATATTCGGATATGACGTTTATGTTTGAAAGTTATACTGTCGTGTGTTTCTGTTAAAAACGTAGCGGTACCAGCTTTTATCTTTCGTTCCGAAAACCAAACAATGCAAAAAGTCTAACGTTGGTGGCGCTAGTTAGTAGTTAGCAATGTAAACAATGGAGGCCGAATCATGAGGACGGAAACGTTGGAATCAAATTTGTACTTAGAAAATCTTCAGGTAATATACTATTTACTTGAAAGTCAAGACTATATAATACACCTGGAGTATATGCGCAAACAAAAAAGTTTTTTTGGTAGTTCGGCGATGTATTTGAACGGAAGTCATTTAGCGAAAACTTAGGCCTACTTTTAGGCTACTGTTGAATGAAAAAAGGGTTCCGAAAGAAAAGAGGTGCCACGGGCCGATAGGCATGGGGGCGTGATAGTCGAATGCTCCCGTATAAACAATTTAATAATATTGTAGGCCTAGCCTAGCTTAATTAAGTATTTCTTTCTCAATTATAGCTGTTTATTTTAACCATTTTTAAACTAATTTAAGCAATCTATCTATCGATGCAGGTAAACCTTCCTTGTGTGTGTATATATTATTTCATAAATTTTAGGATAAATGTTTATAATTTCAAGGTGGGAGGAGTTAGTAAATAGCCTAGGCTAGAGGGAGTTAGTCGAAAGTGGGCCTAGGCTGGGCCAATATATTGTATTTCTGTGAAACATACCAACATCACTCGTTTCTGTTGTTAAAACATTTTTTTCCAACAGTAAGTAAACAATTTATTTGACAGGTTAAAAAAAAGTATGTCTTCCTGTTATGAGCTTTTTGAAGTTGCCTGTTTATTGAGAATAAAGGACAGCTCTACCCACCTGTCAGCATTCCAGCAGGATGATGTCTCCACGACGACATTGATGGTCTGTGATAACGGTAAGTGCAGCGATACAGTAGATATCAATGGCATCTATCGTTTCAATAAATGGGGCAAAGTTTAGTTATTGTCATTTTATCATTTTAATCCTTTGACAGTCAGCAACTAAGACTTAGTAAATTAATTTATATAATCATTTAGAATTCAAATGAATAAATATAATGACAATTATGTTGTAATTTGTAACTTAAACTGTATATATGCTATTTAAATCTATTGTCTTTTTAATTTTTTTAAAATTTTTACCTAATTTTGTACATAACCATAATGATTCAATATTTAATAATTAATCTTATTGCCTTTTTTTGTAATCCTTTTGAATTTCCTAATTTGCAATTTTGAATGATTTTTTGCTTGGGATTTTTATATTTATATATTTTATATGTTTTACTGTGTGTAATATAAATGTTTCTATATATTTAAGGGGCAGCTGACTCTTTTGAGTTACAGTAATTAATTTGCTTTAGCTGTCCCTGACCATCGTGTTGTTTCTTGTTGTCTTGCTTTTCTTTTGTGTTCTTGGTCAAATAAATAAATGAAAAATGAAATGAAATGAACAGTTTATTATACAGTACCGTCATATTAGTATAAAAAAAAACAAATGCATAAATAATGATAAGTATATATTATTTTGAAACAAATTCATCTGGTTGTTTGGTCCTATCGGATGAATAAGACCTGATAGGTCTGGAAACGTTCTGTAAGTACGTCTTCACCTTTTATTGGTTGATTGAAAATAACCTTAAAACCTATATTATGTGTTTTTTTTATTTGTATTAAATAGGTTACCTTCTTGTTCGGTATCATCTGTATGGACATGATCCTGTTATCAAACAAATTTCCTGGTATGAAGTAAGTCTAATTCACCTTTCACTTTCTGACAAACATTCTTGTAACATCCTGTGCTTCAATGTAATTTCTTTTTCTAGTATTTCCTCCTGACACATCCTACACTCTAATCATTAAGTTTACCTTTATTACATCATCATCTATTAATAGCAGCTTTTTCTATGGAATCCTTTCTCTTAAGTGTCCATTATGTTCATCATTTTGATTATATATATTATTTTGTTATTAATGGTTCTCTTCTAAATGTACTCAATATGCACATGTCCCCCTGTTTTGCCACTGAATTTTAAAATTTCAAGTCATATATTGAAATTAGTGCTCTCACTTATCTATTCTGAATATGTTGTGCCTCCCCCTCCCCGTTTGAAAAATTCTGGATCTGCCCCTGGAATGCCTATTAGCATGTGGTTGTTTTTAAGTTCCAGCCACAATAACCACAGAGGAATTTTAAAACACTAAATTTATTATACAAATCTACAGAAATTCAAAATGTGAATTTTCTTTCTTATTTGCCAATAGAATCCCAAGAAGAAGATAATTTGCCTAGCAATTGATCCGAGTGGACAGTGGGGTTTGTTGGCGTGTGCGGACAAGTCACTCAACATACTTCCCATAAGATTCTTCTTCAAAGCCACGCCCACCAGTACCTTTCTCTGGAAGACACGGGATGTAACTGAAATAACACCTCAGCACCAAGTAGGTGTGTAACTATGCTACCTTTGTAATTTTCTGTAAGGGGGAGGGCAGAAATTACCATCATATCACCTTATTTTATGCGAGCTAGCACCCTCACTAAATCATCAAGCCCTTCCCCCCACTTCGCATTTTCTCTCTACCATCATTTCCCCCTCCCCATTTCAAGACTCTTAGATAAAACACCGTTGCATTGCAGCTAATCATAGGATGTGTATCTCAGGATGTTTGCATTTTCAACAACATGTTTTCAAAACTGTCACCTGAACATGTGACATCATTTATTTCAGTACATATAAAATAATTAGCATGTCTATTCACAATTTATCTGCCCTGTAATCTTTTGTCTGTAGGTACACCAACATCTTTAATTTGGTGGCTATCATCTGACGAAAAACACATCGCAATTATTGGCACAACTGTGAGTTTGGTATTTGTGGTTTTTTTTGTTATGAATAGTTGCTCTCTTTATTGCATCGACAACTTAATACATCTCCCAGGGACTAAATAATTTATAATTTGGAATTAATTATAGAGTCCATGTGTTAATTACACTCAGTGGTAGTTTTGAGTACCGTAGTATATCCATCTAAAAAATTCTCAATCTTAATTATATGATTATTCTGCCATAGGCCGGAGAAATCGTGTTTGTTGATCTGTGTCTACAACGAGATGTGCGATCTGTTAGAATTAATGATGAAGTTGTCAATTTGAATCTAGTTGAGGATGCATGTAGTCGAGTCACCTACTTGATAGTAAGTGTATTTTCATTAAATATCTAATTACTGTGAACAAGAAACAATAGTACAGGCATCTAATTTTAATTATTCTGTCCTTAGTAACATAGAGATATCTGTTCAGTGTTGTAATGTATTTGAATGCTAATTGCCAATTGGTAATTATGTGGTTACAGAGAAAATAAAAGAATATGATTTGATTTAATATTGAATATTATTAATATCAGCTGTTTCTACAAATTCTTTCAGATCCATACTGAGTCAGGGCAGCCGTGGAAGCAACTACTGACTAGCCTAGGGCAGGGCTTTGAAGAGACATCGTCAAGTACTAGGCTTACAAGCCTAGGCTTTGAGTATGTGGTACGGGAATCTTTGCCTGTACATAACATTCTTCGAGAGGGTGAGTATCCCCCTTCATCTACTTTTCGCTCTTGATAATAAAACAAAATTAAAATCTCTTTTCAGCTTCTTTCTTTTCCTTTCTATATTTCATTCACTACATTTATTCTTACCAATGTTTCATGTTCCATTTGTTCAAATCTCTTTATTATCCAGTTTAAACACTACCCTCTTGATTCTCTCTTGAATATTTTTTTATGTGTCTTGTTTTATTTATTTATCTTCATATGAAAACACAAACAGTACTCAGTAGACAATTAAATATGACAAATGTTAAAAGGAAAAAGTAATAAGTCTGGATTTCCAAAATATAATCAAAATAAATTATTGTGATTGATTGTCTCTTTAAGTATGCTTATTACTTTAAAAATGATTCATTACATAAAAAAATACAACAAATTGTTGAAAATTTATATCAAATACTGCACCATTTGATGAAAAATAAATCCTTATAGAACTTGCTGACTGTCTATAGCTTTAAATGAAATGTATGTTTGTTTTAGAATCAGGATCCGAGCAGTTTAAGCCGATAGAGTTCCAGCAGTTTGGCACAACTACATATCTCAATTGCCACGAAGCACGTGGAGGTAAACTTGTCACTGCCTACAACAGACAATCACGGATTTATAAGGTTTGAAGATGATGATTTTTTACAAAATTGTAACAACAATAATAAAGCAAAAGTGGCATTGATTTTCTTTACAAATGGCAAGACATTTGGAATTATAGTCTAATTTGTTGATTGAATTTCTTTCAAGGTGTTTGATGGGAATATTGACAATTGGCTTCCATTGTTTGTGTATCGACTTCCAGAAAGCTATAGGCACATTGTGCTAACAAACCGTCTGATGTTTGCTGTATCGTATGTGAATAAGAAAGTAAGCTACATTATTATATTAATCTTATTCTTATTAATTTTCTGACCATTTTATTGCTACTATGTTAGGTAATTAACGTATGTGGCCAATTCAGTATATGTATTATTAAATTCAGTTCAGTTCCTTGTATGACTGCTATTCGTAAGCTCAACTATTATGTTTTTTTTAAAATTATTTCAGACTGTGGTAAATGTGCTATCAACCAATCTGCTAGAAGGATCTTCATATTCACTATCTGATCAAGATTCAATTCTCCAAACTTTCAGTTTCCCTGGTAACCAACATGTGGTTGCTATATATTCATGTCATAGTAAAGATTATCCAATCATGAACTCAGAATTTAAAAGGTTGGTAGCAAAAAAAGAACTCTTGATATGAACATTTTTTACTTTGTTTCACATATTAGATGAAATTATTAGTGTTTTTTGCTTTGCGATTGAAAGATCCTAAATATTTTTGAGAATGAATGCAAGCCTTTTATATATAGTTTTTTTATATTTCTGTCTTCATCTGCTTATCTACTTTTCCAAAAATAGCAAACTTAATACCAAGGATGTGAATCTTCCGGCAGGCTGCATTGTGGTTACAAACAAAGGCCTCTACCACTGTCGACCAAGGTAAGACTGCAACAGTACGATATTATGGACAATAACTAGGGACAATAATAAAAGTTATAAGGCAGTGTAAAGTTCTGTCCAGATTATCAAATTGTATGCCCATATATAACCTTGATGTGATGTCATCATTACTATATTTAGGCATATCACATGTTTTTGTCATATAAGATCTAATAGTTCGAATAGGGCTTTGTAGTGTTAATTGCTGTAATAACTTTCTTTTGTGTTATTTATAGAGTGATCCCTGAAGAACTGTTTTTACAGTTAGTCTTGGAGTCCGCAAACAGTACAGAGTCTGCTGACAAGCTCGGCTTTATTTTTGGACTGGATGTCAATGTCCTCTATGAAAAAGCAGCTGATAAACGCCTGGCTGATGGAGACTACCAGAAGGCAATGGAATTGTATAATATGTCAAAGGTTAGAAATATCAGGCTATTCTCAACTGTCCTTGGATAAAGTGAAGGGGTCACTTCTATAAATATGGCTGTTGAAAAATGAGTTATTGTTATGAGTTATTTTAAAGCATTGAATTTACAAGCCTACGTTCTCTTCATTGACCATGTGTACTTTTGTTTTCGATCAGTGTCCCAACATGAAGCGTGTGACACGCTTTGCCCAGCATGGGTGTATTCGTGAGGTCTTAGAACACTGTTTCGCAGCATTGAATAAACCCAAGGCGCTGCAGTGGGTTGAGCGTAGGCAGCTTGCGGATCTCCTAATAAAAAGCTCAGTTCATGAACTGTTGGAAGGAAAGGTTGAGCAAACCGTTGATAAGCTACGGTGAGATTTTTAATAAAGAAAGCTCATATTAGTGGACCATATGCTTTTGAAAATCAAAGCAATTAAAATTAAATTAAAATCCAACAATTGCATATTTAAGTATATAATATCAAAATATAATAATTTTAATTTTGTAAAAAAATTCATTTCATCTAGAAAACAATTTACACATGTATAAATCGGTTTGAAAACTGTTTTAAAATGGAATTGCAACATCCTATTTATTTATTTTTTAATGATTTTTCTGTTTATATTTTCATTAGACACTTTCTAAGTAGCAACTCAGATTATGATGAAGTGGCAACGCTTCGATTACTTTCTGAGACAGGAATGCACAACCTGCTGGTAGAGGTAGCAAAGGTAACTGATGCCACAGCTCTACTTAATGTAATACTTGTATGCAAGTTAGCATGTTATTTAGCTTGTAAATTATGCTATACTTTTTCTTTCTTTATTAGGAATAATAATGTCGTTTTTAGTGGTATACCAATCAGTGTCAAATACTGATTTTTATTGTGCCTAAACAATAAACAACAAAGTATCCCATCTTAAAACATAAAAGTGTGACCTGGATAACAAGGGACACCTATGCTATGTGACTCATACATACCCACCTCTTTAAATATTAATTCATTTTCCTCATTCAGATGCGAGGATTGTTACCGTATGCTCTTGAGCTCCTTATTGAGCGTGCTCAGACAGACACTGGCTCTCTCAACTATGACCAACTAGCTAGTCAAGGACTGTTTCACACACTTATAACAATCAAAGAGGGTGCTCTCCTTCGGTTGCTTACCACACAAGAACTTATGGGCACACTTCTTGGCAAGGTAAATTCAGACAGTCTGTATAGTAATGATAGGCTTATATTCTTAATTTTGTAGATTGCCCCTCAATGGGGTATAGAATCCACAGTAGAGATCATCAAAGTGAACTTAGAACTTTGACCTTTGAACAATATTATTTCTAGCTTCTACTCTATTATTGCCTGTTTTATGACAGTCTTAAAATATTCATATGTATGCGTATGTACATATATGCAGCGTGTACATTCATATATTATTTCTAGCTTCTAGTCAGTTATTACCTGTTTTATGACAGTTATAAAATATGCATACATATTATTTTCATTGGCTGTTTGATGACAATTTTAAAATGTTAAGTGAATTTGGAATCATATTTAATGAAATATTGTATATTGGTATGAATAATATTATCCTTCCAACTAGTTTTATGGTCTTCATGATTTATTTATTACAGCAATATTGTTTTAATATCTAAATAAGTAATAATATTCATAATTTTTTTTCCTTTTTTAGCCGGATCTGGCAACCAGCTATTTGTCGCTAATAATGCCATGCCTTGACCGGTTGGACCAGGTTAGGCTTCTGCAACTAGCCTGTATGCTTGACCCATCAAAGGCTTCCATACATACACTCCTCTCAGCTGCAAATGTTCACAACAGGAGACCAAGGTAATTATAATAATTATAGCTGATAAATAGACTGTCTTCATCACTGGTGGAAATGTTTCTCCTTACAAAATTTATAATCTTTACTTAGCCAAGGATTGCCAATAGCAATCACTGTCTCATTAGCAAACATGATGCTGTGTATAAACTGTGTATAAAAGTCTTGTTTTTCACTTGCCATTTTAATGTATGTTTTTTATATATAATATAGAACAAATGTTTTTTATAAAATTTTTATAACCCAAAAATGTACTCACTGCTATTTCCATAATTTATAAGTAAAATTGAATCTTAATCTGATGCTTATGGTGTGGAGTTGTTTTTGGGATGTGAATACAAGTCATGTAACTTGACAGGATTTGAACCAAGTATCCTGGAATTGGACGGAAGCATCTTAACCACCAAGCTCTGACACCACTTTAAATAGACTGCAACACACAGTTCCTTATATATGTTAGGAATATTTATACCAAATTCCATATACAAAATAAATTGGTATACGATAATATATATATAATATATTGTGTTTTTTTCAATTCTCAGGTCGGCATCAACCTCATCAATAAGTTCCCAATGTAGTCTAACAAGCGAGACTCATACTCAGGTAATCTCATAAATTGAAATTACAATTCACAATTAAAACTTCTCTATAAATTTAGTTAATTACTGCAGAAGCATTTTTATTTATTTATTTTATTTGAAATATATTTAATGATGGTTAACCATACAACAGAAACTGATCATTTGGGACCCTCAACATGTACCGTAATCATACACGTTACAAATTCCAAATGGAAAACGTCCCCTGTTCCCCCACCCTTACCCCAAGTCCTGCATCTGCCTCTGACAATAAGCCTAGTAGCTTAAAATTATTTTTTTTTATGATCATGAAAATGGATTGAATTTTTTTTCTAAATAGGACTCATTAAGTATCTCCAAGAAATCCTTGATAGAGAATTTCCTGCGTGTACTCTTGGTGCTAAATTTCAAAAGATGTGAAGGATCTAGGTGAGCTACACAGTTCAGTGTTGTAATGTTTGTAATAACTGTGTGCACAGCGACTCACTCATGTCACTATGTGTAACATTTGGTATGTGTAACATGGGGCTATGTGTAACTTGAGACTAAATGTAACATGACTATGTGTAATATGAGGCTATGTGTAATATTTGGTATGTGTAACATTTGGTATGTGTAAGGCTATTTGTAACATGAGGCCAAGTGTAATATGAGGCCAAGTGTAACCTGAGGCAAGTGTAACATGAGGATAAATGTAACATGATGATAAGTGTAACCTGAGGCAAGTGTAACATGAGGATAAGTGTAACATGAGGATAAGTGTAACAAGTGGTTATGTGTAACATGCGACTATGTGTAACATGAGGCTATGTATTAATACATTCCATAGGTTACATAGTTCAACAG